AAATAACTTATCGAATTTAGTAAGCAACATTTAATATATTAGACACAATTGCTTGCAACTCAATTTACTATCAACCCAAAAAAAGATATGCAAGTGAATGCAAGAACACAATCTACAATCCTAATCACAGAACCTCAACATAGAAGCAAACTGAAGAAGTTATACAAGGAGAAGAGGAGGATTGCTGGCTATGTCTTATCTACCAGAGCTTGAAAACAGTGATCTCCTATCATGGTGCATATTATTATAGAAAACATCAGTACAGAAAACTGTCATCTCACCTGAATAGGCCAAATCCATAAATTCTTGGAATAAAAGTCTAGTATTAATACATCTTAGAGACAAACATTGAAGGCCAAATTTTACACTTAAGTCAAGAATATCAGATAGTCATTACCAAAAACGTTAAGTGTCAGCTACTCAAGTAAATATGACTTTCTCAAGTTTGACAAAAATAATTTTAGCACATTTTAAAGCACTAATCAATTTAGGTCATAGTTACAATATGACAATTAGGGCATACTTTGAGAGCAAAGCATGGAATTACCTCTTCGATGATATGGGACTTTACAAACCGGACAATTAGAACCAAGTTTTCATGGATTTCATGATGCACGCACTGAAGACAAGTAGAAGGTTATAGCATCAGGATTGTTACCCCAATTATTTTAAAATGAGAATGAAAAAAGAAAATTCCAGCAATTGTTTAAAAATTAGAACCAAGCATTAAAAGCAAAGCATGAGGAAGCTTACTTGCAGAATACGTGATTGCATGTAAGTGAAACAGCAGAATCTAACAGACTCAAGCTGCAAACGAAGGACAAAAGTACAACAAAAAAAAGATCATTAAGATCCAGTAAGAAAAAGACTAAAGTCCAGTAAAAGCTGAATAAAGATAATCACTCCAGAACGTACTTATTCTCATTATAGGACTAATTTAAGATGAGAAATTGAGAAATTATAGTTCCTTATTCTACATTGAACATGCTGCAAAACAAAACACGTTTACTGATTAAATTATACATATATATATATATATAAACATGCTGCAAACTTTTCCGAAAGAAATAAAACCGGGAGAGAACAAATCAAGGAAAATCTGGGGAAAAAAAGACACATAGATAAACACAAATTTCGATTTTCGTTTTTTTTTTTCCTTTTCGCATGTGATTTTCATTTTACTAGCAACATCGATTCCTTACAGATAGAGATAACTAGCAGAGAGATGAAGAAATGTAAGATTAATTTACCAAATCGGACACTTGAGTTCTCTTCCCATTTTCTCAAGATGATCGGGATCTCCCATATCCGTTCTCAGTCAGCGTGCCTTTGATCAAGAGAATAGTAGGGGTGAAGAAGAGTTTTAACGAAGAAAAAGGAAGAAGAAGAAGAAGCAGAAGAGGAGATTATTAGAACGATTTAGGGCAGAGAAAGAAAAGATTGAGAAACTGGCGCGAGATTTGAATTCTGAAACGTTTTCAACTTTAGATTTTTACCCGCCAAATCTAAGGAAGATGAGGAGCCTCAGGCTTTTTTTTTTTTTTTTTTTGAGTATTAAATTCAATTTTTTAAAAAAATGTTTTATTTATAATTTCATAATTACTTTAGTCAATATATAAAATAATTTAAATATATAATTTTTTGTATTTAAAAACTATAAGTTTAAAATAAAAATTTTAAAAATAAGTGGTGAAGATTTACTTTTTTTTTCCTCTAATATATGTTATTGTTGTTTATATATATTAAATAAAAAATTATTATTTTTGGTCAATTTTGTATAATTCATTCTAATTTTTATAACTTTCAAAATTCTATTAAAAAATGGAAAACATGAAGAATTTCTGTCATTTTATGTCAAAAATTTTGTAGATAGACATAAAAAATTAAAATAATTTTATAAGATTTACCAAAATTATACTAAAAAACTTTAAAATATAATTATAAATTGGTAAGTAATACATTAGAGTAAAATTTATTTACAAATATATACTTTTTAATTTAATAATGATAAAATCCTCTCTAAAATAATTAAAGAAATGAGTTTTACATGTGATGAGATAAGATTATATATTTTAATGCATTAAAGTAATAAATTTTAAA